GACCCCAGCCAGATGCCTATCTAACCTCCTCTTGAAGACCCCCAGGGCAGGGGAGAGCACCACCTCCCTTGGGAGCCCATTCCAGATTTTGGCCACTCTGTGAAGAAGTTCTTCCTAATGTCCAGTCTAAATCTGCTCTCTGCTAGCTTATGGCCATTATTTCTTGTAACCGTCAGGGACACATTGGTGAGTAAAGCCTCACCAATTTCCTTCTGCGCCCCCATGATGAATTTATAGGCAGCCACAAGGTCGCCTCTCAACCTTCTCCTATGGTTGGGGTTCTTTGCAATGGGATTATTCCCATAGTTTTCACTCATTTTGACTATAGAAATATAAGAGCTGAACTGTGTCTTGCAAAAGAGCTTAGGGAAACCATGGGGCTTAACTGACCAGCCTTACACTTGTATCAATGAATATGCATATACAGTGAGTTTGAATCAAATGTATAAGGGTGCTAGCTTCCACGCACTCTGTGGTCAGTTGGCACTCAGGGAGGTCAGGAAGGGGATGACAGGGAACAGATCTGGATATGCCCTGTTCATATGCCCTCCATCTTAAAGCATCTACTACTCCCACTGTTGGAAATAGGGTAATGGTCTAGGTAGACCATTGGTCTGACCCTATATGGTGCTTCTTACGTTCTTATGTGTTGGCATAAAAAAATGATAATACAAAATTCAAAGAAGCAAAGTCAGGCCTGCACCCTCAAGTTTTTAAAAAATGGGTTAATAAAGTTATCCAACAGATCAAAGTCAACCTGACTGGAGGAAGTAGTGACTTCTTCATTCAGGTTGCTTAAAATAATTTTGTTAACAACTACATACCTCAGACACTTAAAACAAATGGATAGTACAGAACGTGTCTGTCAAGCATTCATCAACATAACTCTGGGCCACAACTAAAAAGTTCACGTTCCCTTTCCTTTGGGCCTCCAAAGATGACCTCTTTCCAAAAACAGGGAAAACTTGCATCAAAAAACAAACAAACAAACAAATCACACATTTTTTACACATCATTAGGAGGGGAAATAGAATAGGGAAGCTATTCAAAGTGGCATAAATAAAACATGTTGTGATACGGACCAAAACCTTCACAGTTTAAAGGAAGTACAGTTAAGGAAACTGGAAGTTGGCCCTTTAGTTCTCTGAAGGAAACAAGCTATTTCAGGTGGCATATGGGGAGGAAAGGGAACAAGATAGGGAAGAAATGAAGGATATTGTTTGTGGTTATACATTTTCTGGCACAGCAAACATAGAGGAGGTGTAAAGCAAAAAAGTGTACCAGATTTGCGGACTCTGTTTTATTCAAGTAAAAACACGGCTTTTCAGGATGCAAGAGGCTCAACCTTAGAAACAGTTGGGAGAAATATTCTTTCTAAAGGCAGTGGTTCTCAACCTCCTTACGCTCAAGACACCCCTCAGAAAATGCCAGCGCTTGGGTTTTTTTTACTTGTTTTTTTGACTACATAAAAATACTAAAACAATTCTTCTGTTGCAAAGAATTAAGACAGACCACAACAGGTCAGAAATGTTTTTAACACTCTGGATTCCTATTTGAAATCTCTGGGTTTGTCTTGTGGATCATGTCTGCACACATCAGTGCTAACATTGAGCAGTATCCCTCAGCACCCCTGGAAAGATCTCAAGGCACCCTAGGGTGCTGCAGCATCCTGGTTGATAAATCTTTGCTGTAAGTGAATGTAGTACTCATAAAGACTGAAACATATGGAAACCAAAGTTTTCAAATTTAGCCATAAAACATGCGCAGCACAGGCAATGAAAAGCAAAGCAATGTGCCCCAATCCCCCAACAAGGGAATCACCATTACAGAGAGGAATCCATGTCTTCATTCTGGCCTGTACTTCTACCACTGCCAAAGATGACAGTTGCACTGGTAGCTGCGTGACATGTGAATGGACAAATTAATTTTACAATTGTCACTGATCAGAGGGCAATAATTTTATTTTAATATTTCAGGTTTACTCAGACATGTTTTGCATATGAATATTAAAATACCTTACCGATTTTAAGATCTCTGATCTTCTTTTAGATTGAAGAACATTCATCTAGAAAAAAAGCATTTTGTTTCATTCCTTTCCAAATTTCTCACAAAAACAAATTGTAATAACCCAAGTAACTGCCTACTGTTAGTCAAGTAAATTTAAAACATGGGAAGAACTGAATTTAACATCTGACTCCTCAGAGCATTTTACTACAAAAGAAAAGATATGAACTACTACACTTACTTTCATTATTGTATCAAAGCAGCTGATTAGCTCAGCTGTTTAGAGCATTGTGCTAATAATGTCAAGGTTGCAGATTTGCTCTCCATATGAGACACAGGACCTTTTCTGCCTCAGGCGGGGGTTGGAGTAGATGACCTCTTGAGGTCCCTTCCAGCCCTGCTTCTCTATGATTTCTAAATGTAAACACTTAAGGAAAAAAACTTGCAATTCCAGTATAATAGTATTTTTGAGCATCTTTTATTAGCACAAAAATATTAAAAGAACTCTCATGTGTTTTGTTTTTAAAATCTAGTCACATAATGCCAACACAGGTCAGATAGTACAGACAGCAAATACAACTGGGTTCTGACCTCCAAGAGCTCAGTCAAAATGTACCCACATTACATTTCTTAGTCTAACGGTATTTTGCATACATTTCATCTTTTAACTTAACTGAAGTCACTTGTGACTAGTATTTACAGAATGTCCAAGACAGCATTACTTGTGTCTTCCCTTCCATGTATAATCGCTGATATTTACATTACTGTATTCTTTCTGCCCTCTGGTCACTAGTTTAATGCTATTTTACAAAATCAGAGATTTGATCCAAAAAAGCCTCACTTAAATGAGACATGTATCATCTTGGAATTCATTTCCTCTGCTTATCTGTTCAAAGATGGCTAGCAAGTGAAATACCTTTACTGAAGCTGTAAGCAAGAACAGATGGTACTTCTAAAACAAAATATTCAACGCTTTGGAAAGCTGTCTGAAACAAACGTGCACTTTAAAAAAAAGTTGTATTGAACAAAACCTTAGCTTTCTGGATTTAATAAAAAGAAGTCAAAAATACTAAATATAAATTCATTACTATGGCCACAAAACTGCAGCAGTGAGTCATATTTCCCCACCACAGAAAAAGCTCCGTGCCAAGAAGCCTATCTCTAACTGGAATCATGCGCACAGCGCACTACATGTCTCGAATAGAAGCTTGTTACTTATTCTTTTAGCTTATGGGGTTAGAGAAAAATTCACCCGCACACCACATGCAACAACTTCTGCCCCACTTGTGCCTGTTTTTGAAAACTCTCCTCCACTCTAATGCCAAGAAAAATTCAGCAGTGATTAGGAACAGAGCTTCATAAAGACAGAAGAGGACTTGCTGGGTCATCACTCACAGCTCCATGCTATCACAGGAACTGTCATGTAATCCCGCTAGGTAGCTGGTGTGCTGTGAAAATGGCTCACTGTTAGGCATCTGTCAGTTTTTTCAATCTGCTATTTCCATCTTGGACTTAAACTATAAGCTCTTCAGGGTAGAGACACAACTAGGAGTAGTGCAAAGCCCTGCACTTGGGACAGAATAACCACATGCACAAATACAGACTGGGGAATGACTGGCAATGCTGCAGGGAAGGACCTGGCATGACAGCGAACCATAAATTGAATGAGCCAACAGCATGCTCTTGTTGCAAAAGCCAACAGCAGCCTAGGCTGTATTAACAAGAGTGTCACTTGCAAGCCAAAGGAAGCAGTTATTCTGCTCTATGTTCAGCATTGCTGAGGCCTCATCTGATGCTCAGTTTTGGGTCCCCAACACTTCCAGAAAGGTATGGACAGTTTGGAAAGAGTCCAGCATGGGGCAACAAAAATTATTAGAGGCTGAGGAGTCAAGATGGATGGGGAAGAGCTGAAAGAACTAGGGTTATTTAGTCTGGAGAAGAGAAGACTGAGGGAAGATCTGGTAACAGTCTTCAAACACCTGATTATAAAGAGGATAGAGATGGGCTTTTCTCTGTAGCCGTAGGGGAGAGAAGCAGGGAAAATTGATGGTAGAGATGAGGAGGAACTTTCTGACTATAAGAGTGGTCAGGAACTGGAACAGGCACCAAGGGAAGCTGTGGGATCTCCATCCTTGGAAATTTTCAAGAGCAGGTTACATAGACACTTGGCTGGGATGGTTTAGTCAGAAATGATCCTGCTTTGAGCAGGAGCTGAACTAAATGAGCTTCCGAGGTCCCTTCCAGCCCTGTTATCCTATGACATGTTCGTACACTGTAGCACACTAGGACCTTGCACAAGCTCCTCAGAACATAGAAGTCTGCTCCACTCTTGAGCTTGGGCTGTACACAATAACCCATTTCACTTTTAAGGCCAAGAGTTTCACATGCAATTTGTGCTGCTGACTATAGTGTCTGCACACGTGCATACATGAATTAATACAAAATACTGTCAAGTTTTTGATTTTTTGCTAGTTGTATTTAAAACTTACATAACACTGTACATGCAACTAAGATAATTGTTTAGCAAATTTACCTTCTAAAACACAAGCCACTGATCTTTTATCACATCCACAGATTAAAATTTCAGTCAGCATTTTAAAGGATGGTTCTGGGTTTGCATTTATAAGAATGTTGCACCAACTCATCTAGGGAAGATGGACCCATAATGGCAACCAAAATGCCAGATTTGAATTAGTCAGGTAATTTGTAACCAACATTTTTACTCAAAACCTTAACTTCCAAACATTTACACTGACTTACAGCAAAATCAAACATACAGATCCCATTTTAACAGGTATAAAACCAGCTCTTAACACTCATTTGTTTTTAAAAGTATTTAAATAAAAATGAACATTCAGTGTCACTGTAACAAGAGCTTAACATATAGTAAAACTGACCAGTAGAAGTACATAGGGTAACACATACCTATTTAAAAGGTAATTTGAAAAAGAAAAATCAGTACACAAAATTCATTTGTGGACACAAATAATGTATTACTTACATGCTGCCAATGCATACAGGCATTGAGAACATTATTGCAGGAATTTCCAAAAAGCAGCACAGCTCAGTAACTAGACACCACTTAATGGTAGCCTTACGCCAATTGTTACACTAACCTGAAGCACATAATCCAGAGCTATGTGCCGAAAGCACTTCCGTGTTGCAGTCAGAATATTAGTTGCCTCTTCTACTTCATGTTGCTTGTTTCTCTGAACTTGGGCATTTTTTACTAATGCGTTCTCTTTTTCTTCACTGACTTTTTCAAATTGCTTCTTTGCATCCTTAAATTTTCTAATATCTCTAAAGAAAAGGAAAGATGGCTTGAAATGCCCCTGAAAGCATATTTTGCTCATCATGGAATGACTGCTTAAACATTACAGTAAATGGAAACCCCTTTCTACACTGCTCTCTATTCAAGTATCCAATCTGGCCTTTTTTGGTTTTACTTTACACATTAAATATTTGGATCAGACGTGCAGCATAAGTACAATGAAGTGAGGCCTTCCTGGCTCCATGCTCTGTCTCCCTTCCACTCTTTTCTCAGTGAAATTTAAAAAACAGTTCACCTACTGGGGACCGAGAAAAGCCCTAGCAGTGCTTTACACACACTTCCAGCGCCACTTCTAATCCCTGGAGCATATATAAAAAGCCAAGGTTCTGGGAATGCGAGGCAGCCAGTTTAATAGAAAACCAAATAAGAAACACATGGCTGTTAAGTATCTTGGCAGGAGTCTTCACTGTAACTCCACAGAACCTACTGAATCGCACCGCAGCGAGGCCTCCAAGAGGCCCACATCATCTAGCCCATGCCAGGGAGGATGAGTCACGACTTTAAAAAAAAAAACAAACTCACTCACATTAACATTTTAAACGTTTTTCTACATCTCCAATTCTATTGGAACGTAAAACTGTAAGAAATATAAAGTAGTCACTTCATACTTATTTCTTTAATTAGTTCCTCATGTTTAGTAAAATTTCCAATCAGGCTATGCTCCTCGCTCTGGGCGTGCAGGCCAACATCAATGGGACCCATGTACCTACACTCTTGAGGCACTTCTGAAAAATACTAACTTTAGGTGCCTGCCCAAACATGAGCTGAGGATCCTAACTTGGGGATATAACTCTGGAAAATCTCCGGCTACATGAATGGAAAAGCTGACACACAGTTCTGTTGAAAAATAATTATTTTCATCAGTAAATCTGAAGCAACAGTGCTTTAAAGTGACAGCACATTTATGAAACTAAGGCCCTGATCGTGCAAAGTCAGAGGAACTACTCCCAGGATGCAGCGTTAAGTGAGTGCTTAAACCAGCAATTCTCAACCAGGGTGCAACAAGGCACTTTGAAGGGTGCTGCGATGTCCAGCCCATGAGAGGAGGCAAGTGCTGGCTCCCTCAGATGCTGGGCACCCTGTGCATGCCTGCGTCCTGGCAGCAAACCCCAGCTCTGGGAGCACAGGAGGAGCACAGACACTTTACAGAAAGCTGCATCTATAATTTACCTCATCATAGACATTTCTTAGGAAGCAACAGCATAAAGTTGCATTGTGTCCTAATAAAGACAACACCTGATTTGAAACCTATTACTTACCTTGTTTTAATATAGAAATGTCTCCACCCTAATCCAACTACATACCAGCTTGTTTAGGCATGTTAGGCGGAACTGTTTATGGGAAGAATAGTTGACAGTTCCCAGGAAGAATAGTTTCCCCGGCCTCATCAGAAGTTGATTTCTTATTTGGCCTTACAAAGGATTTTCCCCCTCTGTCGTTTAAACTGAATTGCTAAACAGTGAAAATAAACTTACTCTTTAACAAATGTCTGAAGTTGTGCTTTAATTGATCTTTGGGTTTGATCAAACAGAGTCTGAAAGAAAAAGAAAAGCCATTAAAAAGGTAGCTCAAAGTATTTTGGGTTGTAGGAGTCTTTCCATTTCAGACCAAATATGTTTAACAGGAAGTAAAACCTAACAGTTCTTCCTCATAGGTCTTCATATGCCATTTCTCTGAAGGCTCTTGGGCCTACTACAGCAGATTCTGCTTTAAAACTGCATTCCTCACACTTCAACTGTTATTTAAAATGACAGTCGCTCTCAAAATTAAAAACACCTTACCTGAAAAAACTTAGTAGACCATCACTGTTCAGCAAGATAGTAGGACAGTTCCAGGTACTCCAGTAGCGAAAACTGGCTGATCACAATGATGTGTACAGCTTTCCCTCGCTTTATGTGAGTTCTGCATGTGTGAATTTGCTTTTATGCGATGACCCTTTTCATACCACAATTTCGTTATATGCGAGGTAAATTCACTCTTATGCGACCAGCGTGGTGGAAGCCTGCAGTCAGCTGCTTTGTGCAGTGCCTTGTGGGAGTGACATGCACCAAAATATAGGCTCCTGTGTGGATCTGTGCTCCTCGATCATTGTCCAAGACATGCTTCTGCAGCTGCCATCCCCATTACGGTAACATTCACCACAACCACATGCTTGTGTGTACTGTCTGCTGTTGGTGAGTACCAAACTGTCTAGTAAAAGTGGTAGGAATGGGTCTAGGGGGTCAGAACAGTCATGGTCTCGGAGCCATATCCCTATTTGTTACATCGAAAATGGGTTCCCTTTATGCGCATTCGAGTTATGTGCTGTTTTCCAGGAACACGTGTACAGGATAAAGCGAGGGAAGCCTGTATACACAAAATTTAGAAGCACGAGGCTGGGAAAAGCCTGGTATAGGACCAAAACAAATACATTTTTAATGTAAGGTGGCAAAAGTCAACAGGCATATAAAACTCTTACTCTGTCAAGAAGTTTATGACCAAGCCAGGACACAACTTCCTCTCTTGGTTCTGTCCATGTTATGCTTTCCCCTACCTGGGAAAGGGAGCCCTGGCACGCTGGCAAATAGACTGAAAGTTTCCCTGATGTTCTGTGAATGTCATATATTCTAATGTAAATCAAACAAGCAACACAAACAATATTCATCCAGCGAATAACAGATCCCACTAACACATACAGCACAGCTACACTCTTCTTCCTCTCAATGCAACAGCAGGAAAAAATCTGTGACAGATTAGCACCCTGCATCCGTCTGCAAAACATTCTCTTTAGTGAGCACCAGCATTACTGCAAATAGTACTGTGCCCTCACTTTCATTGTCAGCTTCCACTTTGAGCTGGAGCACCCACAAAGCATGAGGAGAAACCCCCATACCAGGCTGAGAGCTACCAGCAGACAGCAAATCAGAATCACCAATCTGGATGGTTACCACCCGGGGAAGCCCTCCAGAACTACAGCTGGATGCTAGTCATGTGGACCTCCAACGCAACCAAGGAAGGAGTAACCTGAGAAAGGGCTCTGAATCCATTATCAATCCATTATTCCCCTCAATACCGGGGAAGTTACTGGAACTTTTCCTAAGGAAGGCCATTTGCAAGCATCAGGAGGAGGAAAAGCTGATCACAAGCAGCCAGCATAGATTCATGAAAAACAAATTGTGCCAAATTTGATCTCCTTCTTTGTCAAAGTAGCTACTTGGGTGGATGAAGGGAATGATGCGGGTATCACGTATCTGGACTTCAGAAAGGAGAAGCGTGGGCTGGACAAGACTGCTATAAAAATGGATAGACAACTGGCTCAAGAGCCACAAGGAAAGGGGAATTATTAATAGGTCCATGTGAGAATGGCAGGAGGTTTTGAGTGGAGTCCCACAGGGGTCTGTTCTGAGCCTGGTACTGTTCACTGTGTTTATTAATGATTTAGATGCTGGCACAGAAAGTTTGAGCAAGTTTGCAAACTACACGGAACTGGGAAGGATTGTGGACACACTGGAGGATGGCAGTGCAATTCAGAAGGATCTCAGACTGGAAAGTTGGGCTGGAGCAGACAGGATGAAGGCCAGTGTGGACAAATGCAAGGTTCTCCTCTCAGGAGGAATAAACAAAACCAGAAATATAAAATGGGTGACACCAGGCTCAATGGCAGCTCTATGGAAAGAGACTTGAGAGTTTCGGTAGATCAGACTCAACAGGGGCCTGCAGTGTGATGAAGCCACACAAAAGGTAAATGCAGTGTTGCGCTGCATCAACAGCAGCATTAGGTAAAAGACACGGAGGTGGTAGTGGCTCCTGCTCGGGCCTTATCTGGATACTGTGTGCAGTTCTGGGCTCCACAATTTAAAAAGGACAGGGAAAGGTTAGAGAGGGTCAAGGGGTAAGCGACAAAGATGATCAAGGGCTTGGCAGGAAAGTCACTTAAGAAGAGGCTGAAGGAGCTGGGCATATTCAACCTGCAGAAAAGGCACTTAAGAGGGGACATGATAGCAGTCTGCAAATACTTGAAGAGCTGCCACAAAGAAGAGGGAAAGCACCTTTTCTTTCTTGCTGCAGGGGACGATGCAGACCAATGGCTTGAAGTTGCAGCAAAATAAGTGTAGACTGGATATCCAGAAACACTTCCCTGTGAGAACAGGGTGGCAGTGGCACAGACTGCCTAGGGAAGCTGTGGACTTGGCATCACTGGAGGTGTTCAAGAGGTTGAACAGCCCCTGGTGGGGGATGAACTACACGGGGCGATGCCCATGTTCTACTACAGGCATTTCCCAGGCTTCTGGGCTTTGCTGGTTGCCCCCAGTCCCACCCCCCATTTTCTGTACGTCAGGATGTTTCAAAGCCTTCCCAGGGGCACTGGGGTGCTGGCTACAGCCATAGCTGGGGATGGGGACTGGGCTGTGCCAATGCTCTTGCTGGGATTTAAAGCTGCAGGTTGCTGCCTAGAGGGCCTTCCCCTGCCACTCAGCGTCAGACCAGCACCATTTTTGTGGGGCCAAGAAGAAATTACACCCCATGGTCAGACTGGTACAGACTGGAGTGGTTTTACCTTCTTTTGTAGTAGGGGCATGGCCTCTACCTGGGATCCCTGCAGCGTATATTGACATTTCAGCGAAGCAGAGCACTGGCTGCAGGGGTTCCCCTGCTTTGCCTGTGGCAGGTTGGGGTGCTAGGTCTGTGTTGCATCAGGGCTGATGGTCATCTCATGTAGAGTTGAGATTACGGTTTGTATGGGATGCTCGGGACAGGGCTGGTCCTGCCTCAGGCAGGGGGTTGGACGAGATGCGACCTCTGGAGGTCCCTTCTGGCCCTGCTCCCCTCTACGACCCCAATTCTCTCTCTCTGATTTAGAGTGGAACTTGGATGAGTTCTGGTCCAAGTTGAAGCATGCTCACCACCTGACAATAAGATGTTTGTGCACAATCCTGTAAACACCCCACCTTACATACATGGATTGGGCCCAAGCGAGCAAAAAAGGTGTACAGACTTGGGGAACAGCATTATTGGGTTTGATCACAGCCCAACGGGGGCAGGGGAGGAGGGCGTTTGATCACTCAGGAAGGGGTCTAGATGGAAGGCCTGTACCTCAAGAATGTACAGAGGCCAAAAGCAAAAGAAAACGTCTGAATTGTGTCAAAACTCAGCAAATTTAAAAGCACGTGATCCTGTGGCTAGATCTAAACAATTCCCGGAACTGTGCAATTAAATTCTCTGGTCAGTTTTCAAAATCTCATCCTGGGCTCTTGGAATTATTTGGGTGAAAAGACACAGGTAGAAAGCAAACAATGGAGTGAATTCCCATTGCCAAGTGGTGGTCTAAACACAGTCACCTAGACCCACAGCTCAGCACTAGTCATACGTGATGATATCTCAGAAGAGGTAGCTTTAGAAATTGGAATTTGAAAGCTGCCACACAGTAGACTGAACGGGATGGCACATCTTGCAAACCAATCCTGAACGCATTAACATCCTAACCCACAAAAACCTTCCTTTTAGAAAGAAGGGACATGGTAAAAGTATCTGTCTCCTTCCTGAAGAGTCAATCCCATTTCTCCACTCCATGCCTCCAATCCTTCTCATCACCCTCTCTGGAAACCCTCTACATCTGCAACAGCCCTTCTGACATGAAGTGACCGCAGCTGCACACCATATCCAGACGAAGATAAGACACAAACTTGTACGGTGGCAGTGTTTTCCTCATTAGTCAACATCCTTTCATCTTGTTTTCTTTTGCCATTGCTGCACACTGTGCAGAGCTCTTCCTTGGCCAGCCCAAAACAGACAGGTTCATTCCCTGAATTAATATTGTTCACTCAGTCCTACAAGGTGGACTCATGGGTTCAATTCCATCCTCCCAGAAACTGCACATGTTAAAATACATATTGCTTGTGCCCAGCAACACAGATCACTCTGTATCACTGATGTGTCACCTTGACTGCTTACTGCTCTTCCAGCCTTTGATTTTGGATACTGACAGATGTCATAACTGTATCCTGGAGACCAGCACACACCCTCACGATGCATCTGTTACACCTGCATCCTTCTGTAGCCTGCAAGCGTAACAGAGCCACTCCAGCTGTAGCCCTGCTAAATTTAGTGGAATTTAGGTCACTTGTTTCACTGCAGCACAAGAGTTAGTGTCTGCTCCCCTTTGAAAGCAGCTAAAACAGACCAGCATGCATGTCTTTGTTTTCTTTCAGGTCACTGATAACGATGTTAAATATCACATGCTCAAGAACTGATGCCTGTGAGGCCTCACTAGAAATTCACTTACATGGTCATGATTTCCTGCTTGCAGTTATAGCTTGAAACCTGTCCCTTTGTCAGGTTTTAATCCATTTACCATGTGCTGCATAGGAAACTAGAGCAGTGCAAAGCCTAATAAAAAATGTCATGCAATTCCAACCAAATGCTTTTATCAACTAATCTCAGAGTCTCAAAAAAGGACACTATCAATTTAGCTCAGGGACATTCAACCCTTAGCCTGCAAAACTCCCCAAAGCTCCAGAAAGGTGGCAGGAGAGGAGCAGTGCCACCAAATGTCCA